CTTGCTCAGAAAATGTTAGGTCTCAAGAGTACCACAGGCCTAAGTCAACGATAGCACGGTGTCTGGGTAGGTCAGCAGATTGAAGCGTTAATTTCATGTTAATTAAGGGTACGCTGAAGGAGATCCAGCCACATTTGTTCAGACTGAATTGTAGACCCCCTAAAGATGACCAAGCAGTCACTTCATCTGATTCATTCTGCTTGACATTCTGGAAGTTCCCTAGGTCATCACGCAGGAATGTGTAAGCTAGTTTTAAGTCATCTGCTAAGATGAATGGTTTACTCTGTGAGGAGCCAGCGCATGTGTCATTAATATAAAGTGTAAATAAGAGGTGCCGTATGACGCTACCTTGAACTACACCAGAGGTGATTGAGCTAGGTTTGAAATTCACAGACCCTGGTGTAACTATTTTGGACCTATTGTTAGGGAATGGAATAAGCCATCCTAATAGTGAGTCACGTATTCTTAAGGAGTTCAGCTTATGTATCATCAGTAAATGGTCGATGCCTTGGAAATGTCAAAGTAGATGACGGGTACTTGTTGTCTTACTTTTTTCCCCTTCACGTTCCCAGTGGAACAAAGGGCCTCAAGCTAGTGGCTTGAAGTTTCTGTAGCAGTGCTTAATTTTTACAGTATGGGGTTGCTAGCCTCATACCCAACCTTTCCTCTTTACCAGCATTATTTCTGGCCTAGCGAGGTAGAGGAGTGCGTTGGCCGGGGATCGAACCCCGGACCATGTGCATGGTCGGCGAGCATCCTAACCGCTATGCCACCGACGCACCTTGTTGTCGTATATCACGACTAATTGTCCTAAAATTAAAGAAGTCTAGGTGGCAGGTTAAACATGATCTGGATTTTAGGAATCCATGTTGATTAGGACTCACAATATTGCAGGCAAGTATAAGCTTGAGTACGTTATCTTTAACTAATCTCTCCATAATTCTGGATGCTACATGTGTGATATTGATCGGTTTGTTGTTGTTGGCTACTGTTTTCAAGCCACATTCGTGTCTAGGCATGATGAATGTCATTTTCTATATATCCGGGTAAGTTGGAGTTTCTAAGGACATTGTGAAGATCCTAAGCAATAATTTGGGAATGTCAGGACCACCATATTTTTAAAAACATGATGATATATCGTCAGTGCCAAAACCTTTAGAGCTCATGAGAGTTCTAATAGTTTAGTTAATGTTAGCTTAAGTGAACTCAATGGTGCCAATTTGTCTTGGTGTGGGTGAAGATGTAAGTAGCGTCATATTAGTACGCTGTATACCGAGTAGTGAAACCGTCGCTTAAGGTAGTTAGCTGCAGATGTCATCCTCTTGGTAGCCATACTCGTTCATTCTCTCTCTCATTCACTTAGCTGTTGTACCACTTTCACCCCACATAGATGTACATGGTCCATTAAATGTATAAGCGATATCACTGACAAATGTCAGTATTATTAGAAGAAAATGCTAAATACTTTCAGATAGGCCATAAATATTAGCCTACTCATGTAAGACACAGGTCAACATAACAGAACTATTTGGCGCTTTAGTACATTTCATGATTTCTTCACAAGCCGAATATACATACACGTGTGTAAATAGGAGTATTTGCACATCACTCTTTCAGAACTATCTTGCTTCTTTTTGTTTTGCTGTCCTTTATCCCTTTCCTCCACTACTGTAGCTGAAGTTAGATTTTTTGGATGGTTTTAAAGAATGTTAATACTTGATGATGTACAATAACAATCAAAAGGGATTCGTAGGCCTCACTGACTCAAAATCCTATCAATGTTTCACAACAACGAGATAATTTTTCATGCGGAGCATCCTTCATTACAATGGTGGACTATCTCATTTACATAGACAGTCAAATCCCACTACTATCTGTACAGCATCAACAAATCCCGAAAACTCATAAATCATTGAAAATATGCCGAAGGTTCAACTAAAATCTCATATGATGGTTAATTTTATCTTTCGTGTGCCTCAATTTCCATTTTCTTTATATTAGTGCAACATTATTCTAGTTCCTAACTGCTCGTAGATTGACAATTACCTGTTGTTAGTAAGCGCTGAAGCAGTAAGACTTCTTTGTATATTCAACTGCACACTGACTGTTGTGAAGGGCCGCTGGCATTTAATATTGCTGCAGACATCCCTGAGGTACATTCCAGTCGCATGTGATTGTGACATTTGCCTGAATATTCGTCGGTTATCGTTTGGGTACCGCCCTCGTAGAAAATTAAATTAAATTTGTGTTTCTCACTCGTCCATAACTACGGCGTCACAGTTTAACACTTCCATGGCAATGTTCTGATAGACTATATTATAAAAACATTATTTGAACTACCGAAAGAACGCTTATCTAACGGCATTTCATGGCTTGGAATTACATCACATTTGACGGTATCTGGGAAAATGGCATTCTTTCCATCCATTTACATGAAAATATACATCAGTGTTGTCCCTGGATTATGGTGGTTAATAAGATATCCTCCAAGTGATCGCAACAATTTTACTAAGAACGGAAGCTATTTTAACCGTTTCCCATCCCCCTTTTACTTTCCTTTTCACACTGTCATTACGTAACGAACGCCACATGTTCTTCAACATTCTTCTATCTACTTGTCCCCTATTTACCGAATTGCATTGATCTTTGAGGGATTTGACAGGAAAAATTTCGATTATAGAAGGAATTTGTGAATTGACGTGAAATTAGCAGTGTCTGACTTCAGAATTCAATTCTTTATCTATACTGAGAAATGCTAAGAACATTGAGTATGTGCGAGTTTTGCACCAATCAATGAATGGGGACGACACTAAGTTGGATCGTGGCATTCTCACGGACTCTTAACATTACCCGCATTACTGCATCCAAGAGGAGGAGTCGGAGAGATATTAGGTGCAACTAATAACCAGCTTATGATAGGACTGGTCAAACAGTCAGACAGCTGTGAGCTCCAATCCCACTGGGTGTTGTAAATGGCTGGCCCCCAGCTGTGCGGCTGTTACGGGACTAAATTCGTTTCTAATCTAGTCAAATTGCAGATAATCATCTTCAGATATTTTACACTTACGCACAAAAATCTATCCATCTCCACAAACAATACGATGAAAAATATTTCCACCAACAACTGCGCTGAAGTTTGGTGTACTCATAATTCCTTCTGGAGGACAAATCCTTCTTTTTCAATCAATTCCATAACTAAACATTACTGAAATATTATGCTCACCCAATAATTCAAACATAAGTCTGTTAAAACAGGACTGACTGAGAACGTTGGAGACGACACTAGGCGTAGCCCTAGGTATATCACACACAGTGTGAAGCAGTATCATTTACTGGATGACAAGGTTTCGAACAAAATTTATTGTTCATAATCATATCAATTATAATCACACGACTTCAAAACTTGAGTTTTTCGAGTTTCGAAGTCATGCGATTATAATTCCCAGTAGCTGAATGGTCCACGAGCTCGCCTTGTAACCAGAGGCTCCTTGGCTCGAACCTCGGTGGGTGCGTACTGATTAAGAGTCCGAAACTAGGGCGAAACAGCTGGCTGTCCAGTACTCCCAGCTTGTTTTGACAATGGTTCTCTAACCAATGTCAGCTCATGATGAAATCCTCCAGCGTATATAATTCTTTCTGCAAAGTTGTGTTATAGTGCATTAACATCTGTATCACAGCACCTCAACGACAAAACTCAAGCATTTTCAGTGAAGACAGGAGTGAGACAAGGCCTGCTGTTATCACCAAGATGATTCTTAATTGTGGTGGAATGGATAACTTGGCGGGCAGTGAAGAGGAGAGGGTTACGTTGGTCCGATAGGAAGACTGTTAAAGATCTCGACCCCCCTGGAAGGAATGCTTGGGGAAATTAAGATGCATCGGGCACATGCGAAGACTGTTCGGAGAATTAGGCCGCAGGGAAGCGAGTTGAATGTGGGTCTGGTTGTGACATGGGGAGATCGTGTGTGAACGAGATGAGAGCATCGAAGCAGTTGTGGAGCCAGCTGAATAGGACAGCTGAGAACAGGACAAAATGTAGATGCACTTCTGAAGCCTCATTTTTCATTGGGGATCCAGTGGAATAATAGTAACATTAACCTCAACATATAGAAATCGTACTTATTAGTTACCTGAGTGAAATGAGGTTGGGTAATCTAGTTATGACATGTGTAAGCTTTAGTGCTTTATTTAAAACAATACACCGTCAACAGCAGTATCAGCTACAAGTGAGATATCATCAATAAGTACGAAGTATAACAAATAAGTTTTGAAGGTAAAATGGCAACGTGAGAACTTTATTTTTCATCCAAAGTGGGTGTGTTCTTAACTGAGAATAGTGAACCTGTAACGTAATGTAGCAGAACTTACCAATCGGTAAAGCTGCTTAATAAAGTTTTTTTAACCAGATGTATCCCCTGAAAAACTGAAAACCAACGGTTAGTAGTGAATGTTGATTAGCACAATGAGTAATTACCTCTCCCATAGGTCTTTATTAATCCAAAAGTCAACAATGGACGATATAAATATCAATATAACAAACACACCATCACGGATTATAGGTCCAGGACGTCTCTGAGAATTCTTCGCCCCACTGACGATCTGTAAGTCAAAGTGTGTGCTGGTCAGTAAAGCAGTGTGGGTAGAAAACGCAGTCCAATATAACATTGAGCCGAAAACCAGGGATCCACGAGTTTTTACAGCAACAACTCATTTTAACCAAGCAGGTTGTCCAGAGATGCTGGATGCACACTAAAACATAGTCTGCTGGATGATACTGTTTACTGCCACAGCTAACTTCAATTGTCTCACGCTCAGCTAACTTAATTTAAAGTACAGATATTATGTTATGGAAATTTCGCATATGTTAGTGATTGCTTAAAACAATTCTACCCCATCAGCAAAACTTTTACAAGGAAAATGGAAAGATAACGGAAAAAACCACTCCAGGACATGAATTTTTCCTGAAAATATATGCTCACGGCTCATGGCATTTTTTGTTTAAGTGATTGACTTTCTAGGTACGCCGCGGCCCTAGTTCTCTGTTTCTGTAAGGTCAAGTAAGGCTGCCTAATTATGTCCGGAAGAGGTAAAGCAAGGAAAGCCGCTGGTGGGAAGAAGCATACAAAGTCTAACAGAGCTGGTCTAGTGATTTCAGTTAGTAGAGTTCATCGGTATATGAAGAAAGGCCGTTATGCTCGACGGACATCTATTGCTGCGTCAGTATATATGTCGGCCGTGATAGAATATTTGGTAGCTGAAGTTAATGAGCTATCTGGGAATGCTGCGAAAGCAAACAAAAGGTAAGACTTTAGTGTTTCAAGTTTTATGGTAAACTATGTATTGACACTTCTTTGTTCGATATGTGAAAATCTCACTTTTAAAATAATGCGTTTTTTGTACGGTAAGGTAATAGAATAACTCAGAAACAATTATTCTGGCTGCCATCCTGCAACCATAGTGCCACTCTCCCACACTTTCTGCGTATTTGAAAGCTTGGGGATGTATTAATCACTTCTTGACCCTTGTTACTTAATGTTACATCTAGGTGTCTTCCTGTGCACATTTAATTGCACACGTTATATACTTCCGTTGTGGGCAGTGCTAGCAATCACTTAAGAATTGCTAAGCCCATCCCTCATGAGAAGTCGCCGAATATTTTACTGAATGGGCGTGTAACGAACTGGGTTTTACTGCCACGAAGTCTTTGTCATAATTGTTAGTGCACAGTGTCTTTAAGGAGCAAACCAATTATGTTTGGAGCTATTCAGCAAACCAGACTTAGTGTTTTTGTAGTGACAGATATCCGGGTGGGGTTTGACTGCCGTTTTATTTACAGGACCCTCTTTTGTTCACTTTTCCGTAGCACTGTATCTGTAACCGGCGAGAATAATAAATGTAGGTGAATCCCTACAACTTGAAAAGTCTTATACTCAGTCTATTTCTGATTCTTTTATCTACTGGGGGAAAGCAGGTCAGTTTTTGGCAGATGTAGCAGTGCACACACGTGATATATAGTTATACTAATTTAGTGCCTCTGACGGAGTCGACACAAGTTTAATTAGCTGCCTAACTGTAAGCGAGTTATGAGTATTATGAAGTTGCAGTCAACGACAAAACAGTGTGTTAGAAAAAGAGTAGATGGGTATTAGTGAAAATACCCTCATTTTCTGCCGCTCAGCTGATGACGCGCTGACATGGGTTGTGCTCTTTCTGACGTACTGTTAAGACGGGTCATATCACCAGACCAGTTGCTCTTGTAAAAAAGTCAGAACAACAGTAACACGACTTAAAGCAGCAATTATCACAGTTCATGTTTGCATGTGTAGTTAGCACAAGGCAGAGGCCTTGATGTTGATAAATATAACTTTGTGAACAATAAGGATGCTCCACAAATCAACTGCAATATGTTCCCTCTTGTCAGGCAGACTAGTATAGATCAAGATTATGATCTATCAAGGTTGTTTTTAATATAAATAGATATTTCAATGCTGAGGGTTGTTTACATAAATAGACACAGAGAGAGGAAGAATAGTAACACGAAAATAATAGGGTTTAATGGTTATGGAAAATCACAAAGAGCGAGTACAGTTGCGTCATTGTGAACAACTTTGAGCCATATCACCAGTTGTCTCCAACCACTGGTTCTTAGAGTTCCGTCCGACCCGACTTGGTAGTCTTCATCTCTCGACATGACTAGCTCAAAATAACTCAAACATTTCATGGACTGTTACATTTTGGTTTGGGTACCACTAGCTCTTTTCCACTGTGATTTCATGTCAGCTAACATTGCCCGTCGAGGAAGGTGGTTACTAGACATGCGTAACACATGACCTGGCCACCTTAATCAATGTAACTTCACAACCTCGTCGATTGATTTCCACTTGTCTAGCACTTGACGCCTGATGTCGATATTATTCACCCTATTATGCCACCGAACGCGGGAGATAAAACTCAGACACATATAATCAAACAATTTCATATCTTCCAATGAGAATGGCCATGTCTCGCAGCCATAAAAGAGAATGGAGCAAACTGTTGACTAGTAGACATGTCCTTTGATCGATATCCAGCCGGATGTATATCTATGCCAGATATAAGGCACACATCACACCAACTCTTTGAAACCATCCTGAGATTTCGTGAGCAACCAGGCCATTTACGCTGATTTAACTTCCTACATAAGTGAAGTAGTTAGCCCGCTCCATCAATTCACTCCTTATCTGTAAGCCAGGAGTTCGACTCAGTGATGTGACACTTTTTCTCAGAAATGAGCACCTGAGGTGCTCAGCAAACCTCTCACCTGCTTAGACACATTGTGGCTGCCTGTTTCTTAGTAGACAGACAGGAAATGTAAAGATGGTTTTTGTTTATCATGAAGGTGCAGACTGACAAAGCAAAACTTTCCAAACCAAACCAGTTTCTTGTGATTTACTCATCTGGTGATGGGTTTGTGATTTACAGATTGGAAAGATTGCCGTATATGAATAAAAAGAAAAATGAAGTGGTGTGACATCTCTTGTCGATACTGTAATGTGTTATTTATTGTAATATCCTGAACTGGGGACGTCAACTATATATGTTTATTGTTTATTATTATTATTTGCACTTCAGGAAGACCATTACTCCAAGACATATCATGTTGGGTGTTCGAAATGATGCTGAGCTGAATGAGCTATTGAAGCATGTTCACATTAGCCATGGTGGTGTTTTGCCTTGCATTCATCCAGCATTATTAAAAAGAAAAGGTGTGCTTACAAATTCTCCTGGTCAAAGTGGAGCTGCCGTCTCCGGGGCTAATTTGTCATCTCGTCAAGCCTCTTCTGGTATTACCTCAAGTGCTATGGTGACTTCATAATTAAGGTGGTGAACACACAAGCATGCTATGCGATGTATGTTAGTAGGCTTCTCCAGTCCTATTTTTAATCGATGATCTGTCAGGGTACACTTTCATTGTATTTTATCCATCGTATAAGTAATAATAATAGTTATTATTCTATTATTTCACTATAAATCTAGGTTTGTTATATCTATATTTTGACTGGAGTGTGAAGTGAATTATTTGTATCGATAAGACTTATACTAATAAGTTGCTTTTAACTTGTTATCCTAATATTATCGTATTTGTGTATTTTTACGTTTCCTCCCGAATCAAGGGCTAGCAATCTTCTCATTTTTGTGTAATATTGGCTAATATATATATTTATTTTTTATCTTGTTGCTTTAATCGCATCTGTCCTTCCTGTTCTTATCTTCTATCTTTGTTTTATTGCATTGTATTTAATAAAACATCTAATAGTTTTAAATTTTTTAATGTATGGTTTCCAGTATGTAGTTTATTAATTAAGACGCGTAGGGATTTGTTCGATGGCGTCTGCCAGTTGAAGCACTCCAGACTCTGAATACTGGATAAGAGTTGTTGGTTGAAAGGACAGAACTCTGTCGACGTGTTTTGATCACATAAGTTTTTTCATGTGAATGAATAATCCTCATCCAGGCATTAATGAAAACAACATTAACAAGTAGTTCAGCGAGGAGGCTCGGCGAATTCATTTTCTCTAACCGTAGAACTGCAGTTATATACAATATTTCCATGAAACAGAGTAGTTAATATTAGTCAGTGCATAGTCTTTTATGAGTTGCAATCCGGATGTGCATAGGAACTTCGTATGGTATGGGATTATGTAATAATTCTAAAAATGGGTAAATTTATTTAAGCTCAGTGGATGATCTGCCATACAGAAGTTCGATGATGATGCTGTTTTTTTCCAAATATTTCAGAGAAAGATCACATTTCGAACAACTATTAGCCTCCAGATGCTCTGGACTGTTGTGATGTCTTTCGTTCGCAGCACAACTGTTCAGATAGTTCAATGAGGCTTTCATGTGTAGAGGTAGAGAAAAGGTTTATGGTTAATGAGGGAAGTTTGGGGAACCGTCAACATTTCAAGCCTCTATAGACGTAGTACAACCCAATTAAAGTGCATTTGCGAAAGACCAATGACCATCGACAAGATTTCTATGGGGTTTTAGGTGACACGAAAACCAACTCAATAGAAGACAGGAGTGTTATGTTAGTGTCGCATGAGGGTTGTGATCGCCGCATTACTTTGTATTTGTGAAGAGGTGGAATGGTATGTGTCATATTTGGAAGCATGGATCACTTTGAGAATGATAACTGAAGCCAACGCCTCAAAGAATAGCTAATTACAGTAACCATCTTTTTTCTGTTTGTACTGCTTGCTCGTATGGTTCCCCTACTAGTCCAATGTATCTCTCAGTGTGGTATATGAAGTCTCACATGCTAACTCGATCTCATGCAAGACATCTTTGAATGGTTCCCTCCTCTAATTTAGTGACTTACAATCATTTTAAAACCACACTCGTTCATGAGTATTAGCGTCAACTAGAAGAATTTATAGGCATTATGAGTGTAGGACGCTGACGAGTCAACATCTAAGCCTACAAAGGAACCCGATATATAAAGACTTTACTTGGATAGTCTGTGGTGTTATATCCTACTATTTCAGACGAAAAGTTGAGTTCATTTCGCTTATTTTCGAGATAACTCTAACTGGAGTGCATAATGCGGTTGTTTTTATGAAAGCGAAAATGTTTTTCCTTGAGAAGTGAGAAATTATTGTGCGATAGAGCACTTAGTTGATGGTCAGTGGTAGTGATGGTCATGTAGTACAAAGTAATTCTACAGGGTTAAAGGTTTCTGGATTACCGTCAACCTGGTGTAGTGTGTTAACAGCTGTTGGAAGCTTCGTGTTCCTGGTAATGTGATGTGCTACGTTTTCGATTATTAAGCGCGATATATGTGTGAAGTGGGCTTTACTGGGCAGTCTGTGATGACGATAATCATTCTAAATAATTAGATTTCAGTGAACTTTGATTGATATCAGGGTAATTTCGTCACTAACCAGAGGACCACTGCAAACCCGGGACTCTGGGCACCTACTTTTTCTAGTTCGGGGTCCCATAGAAAGCTGGATTAGGGACCTCTGACTGACTGGTTTCAATGTAGAACTTAGCACAGATGTGCACCAGTTCGAGTTCCCACACTTCACGTAGCTTACAGCAAGAGAAGAGATTCAGAACAGAGATATGAGGCGAAAAATAGTAATATAGAAGAATTATATAGTTTTGTTGGATATTATAAGTTATAAGGAGTGGATGCACCTGTGCCAGCTATTGAGAACGATTTTGAGCCATATCACCAATTGTATCCAGTTTCTATTGGTTTTACGGTCCCGAGGACCCCAACCAGGAAGTCTTTACCTTCCTACGTGGATTTTATTGACTGATGATGCTTTAGTGTAACCACCACTAGTTCCTCCCCAACTTGGTCCTATGTCAGCTACCATCGCCCATTTTCGAGGAAGGCGATGGCTAGACAGGCGTAACACATGTCCTAATCATCTCAATCCATACAGCTTCCCAACCTCATCGACTGACCTTCCCTCCTTACCTAACACCCGATGCCTAATCTCAGTATTGCCCACCTTAATATACCCCTTAACACGGGGGGATAGAACGAAGAAAGCTAGCTAGTCCGTCTTTTCATGTCTTCCACTTCCAATGGCCATGTCAAGGACCTCACCAGTTGTTTCCTTCAGAAACCGAAATTATTTGCGTCATGATAGTCAGGACATCTATTGAAGCTGTACAATCTACACCACTGATTAATATACCAAGATATTTAGGTGATATGCCACACTCAGGGATTGGTTGGCAACCGAACCCTAAGCGAAAACAAACTGACGAATCTCTATTCATTAAAGAATTGTTGTAAGATAACACATTTCGGCATTAATGTAGACAATTATTTTAAAATCTATTAGTCATTTATAAGTATTAGAGGTTGTTATTTATTACGTGGCTGCAAAGAGGAGATGTTAGCAGGCAGGCTACACGAAGTTTTAACCAAGTAAGACTTTAAATTCCCTCACTTGTTAAAAACACCTCATACAGCATTTTGTTATTTCCTGGTTGATTTCTAGAAACTTTCTGAAGTCATGTCTTTAAGTTATTGAACAAGGTTTATTCATCAAGGATGGTTTTGCCTTCTCACCTATTCAAGAAGAGGCAAAAATCTGATCAAAGTTTTGCACTGACAGCTCGAAGTTTTAGATCTGCATGGGTAATACGCAGAGCTTTTACTCGAAACACCAGAGGTATGTTCACTTCTTTAATGTATATACACATCTCTGGTGAGATCATGACTGGAGAACTGCATCCAGTTCTTTTGTTCGGTGTACAGGTTTGCAGTAACAATAGTAAATCAAGAAGAAAATGTTATAATTGAAGGCGAGGCAACTCAACATGATTCTTCTACTAGACAATATATTTATAAGCATGGCACATTGTTGGCTCGGTGGTAGAATCCTCGCCAGCAGCGTGAATGCTATGGTTCCTGGCTGACAGTAAACTTGGAGAGAGAACAAGGTTGGATGTGAGGGGCTAGGTATTCCATCCCCTTAAAAACAGCCCTATTGCTACTGAAACTCCAAGCCTAATATTGCAATCGAAATGCAAAGATATCAGCACTCTTCCGCATATATACATGAGCGACAGTCTAACATTTACTGGAACTTCCGTTAAACAGACAAAATCCAAAAGTGAATGTCGAGATGTTAATAAGTTATTCAAGTAGTAAAAGTTGTCTGACTTAGCGATATGATGACATATTTGCGTTTTTTCTCTAGTCATTTGGCCCTGATGCCAAAATTATTCACAATAGAATTGGCACCCAGTGAGAAAATACGTGTACGAAAGACATAGAATTACTTCACTCTCACAATTTTAAATTAGCAAACGTAACGGTTTGATTGGACACTCTTTAGTAACTAGTGTAGTGTGTTTGGTCTTTTGTTTAGAGCCGACTTAGTTCTGTCAGTCAAGTTCGCAATATAATGTGGTCACCATTCTAGCTGGCAACAAATAACATAGAATGATCTAAGTACAGTAAATTCCTCGTGTCTAGCAAGATAAAAGAGTGATTAATTTTATCACCACACTTTAAGTTCTTAATTGTACTGAATTGGAATGTATTGTAACTCAAAGGACCTCAATAGCGTCTCTCACTAAAATAAGACCACTTCAGATCACAATTATTTTCTCCTTTAGTTCCTAGAAGAACATAAGGCTTCAGCCGCACGTCTCGGTTGCGCGTTCGGTTCTCCATCAATGTTTTCGCCTGGCTCCACGTCTGCCCACATGCTTTCATCTCCTCTTCTAATGACCTCCTTCACCTCACCTTCACACTGACAACCAACTCGCTATTTCCGATTCGGATTCCACTCGGACGATGGCCTGGCTTGTGATGTCTCTTGATGGTTTGTTTTCTCACAGTATGGTCTATACACTTCCATTTCTTCCTGCATATTTGTTATGCACAATTGGTTCGTTCCCAAAGATCCCTCACTATTGCTGATCTCGAATGGTATTGATGAAGGTGTATAGTTTGTTCGAAGTGCCCTTCGTGACGCGATGTCAAGTCTCTGATCCGTATAGTAGCATTGACTTCACATTGGAGTTGAAAATCCGGATCTTATTTTCATGCTGAGTGTTAATCTCCACATAGACTTTAGAGTAATGAAAGCTTGCCTTGCTTTCCCGATCCTTGCGCCTTGATATCCTCATCATTTTCGTCCGCCTGTAGTTGAAAATATTCTTCCCAGGTAGGTAAAAGTTTCTTCTTTCAGATTTCTCCAATTCATGCTGATTGTTGGCTAGGAATCTTCATCATCTCTGCCTTCTCTATGTTCACCTGCAGTGAATTCCCATCTTTGATGCTTCTTCTCCAACTTGTTGATTTTCATTTGCATATCTCCAGGTTTGTGAGAAATCAGACATATACTACATCCTCCCAATGTTTTGTGTGGGTCCATTTTATGCCTGTCTCCTCGTCGCTGTCTGGTGCATTGTCCAGTCTACCACCCACAATCAGGAAAATTTTTGGAGATAGTAGGCAGCCAGCCTTGTCTTACTCCCGTCTTCACTTCTTCGAAGGATTCCGTGAGTTTCCCGTCGTGGATAACTTGGCATGCAGCATTATCGTACAACTGTTGGCGGCACCACGTATTAGCGAAGTAGTTGCCAAATGACCTCTCGATCGACGCTGTCTGTCGAAGACTTTTTTAAAGTCGATGAAGTTGAGTGAGGCAGAGAGAGCTGACTACCATTCCAAGCTATGTTCAATGATAATACACAGTGTTTTGCTATCAAATATCCCCAGACAACTTCTCTACTAGGTACTTTGTTTGAGTGATATATTTAGCTTTCTGTGATAGTCACTCGA